TTTGTATTCAATATCTAGGGCAACAGAGATGGGCCCAGAACTCCCCAAAGTCACTCTGGCTGCTTTACCCAGCTACCCAGTGTCCCTACCTCCCTGGAATTCACATGTCGGGCCTTGCTCACAATGTTGCCCTGACTGCCCCTCAGCAGGGAATGTAAGGCTATGCCCACTTTCAGGAGTGACCATGTGAACTTGTGGCTTACAGTTCTAGAAAAAGAGAATGAGGTTAGCCACCATTCTTGGTTGGGGGGGGTTACATAAATACCTTCTAAAAATGATGAACGCAACAAACCCCTATTGCTAAGTGGAAGTCTAAGTCTGAGCATGTAGAAGAACCTTGAGACATTCTGGAGTGTTCAGTGATGCTGTAAGGTTGTCCCCACTGTCCAGCCAAAGATCAGGTTTCCCCAAGATCAAGCAGTGCGCTTATTGTGGGTCCCTGTTCTGGAACCGAGTTACAGCAGAGATGCTACATGGCCACTCCCTTAAGTGCCTGTCTCACAGTGACATGCCAGGGTCTGCCATCATGGTGGGTCCTGAGGATGCTGATGAGCCTGTAAATGACTAGTTCCTAACTCAGCATCAACACAGCACTCCCAGATTTCATGCCACACATCTCAGCATTGTCCTTGGATAGTGAGAGGGGGCAGTGAAGACTGGTCAGCAGGTGCAGTTGACCTGGGGCCAGGCAGCTACCTAACAGGGACCGACCAGTAGCCCCGCAAAACAAGTCTCTACACACCTTAATACCAGGATCTCTGCATGGAATAGGATCTTGACATGAAGTCAACCTAGGTTATCCACAATTGTATGCCAATTCCTCCCATAAGACAGAAACTAGACAATGGTGTGTCTGCATGTATCCCTCCAAAGTATGAGACCTCTGGGGGAAGGGATTTAATCAGGTCCTGAGCTCTTATGAGTGGAGTAAGACCTCCCAAGAGGGCTGTAAGGAACTGGCTGAGGCCTTTTTACCACGTGATGACACAGGGTCTGACCTGTCCTCTGGAGTATGCTCCAAGAAGGCACTACCTTGCAAGCAGCCACCTCTATCAAACTGCGGCCCTGCAGTGCCTTAATCTTGGACTTCAGTCCCCAGAACTGTGAGAGATACATTTCAGCTCTGTATAAGTTCTCCATCCTTGGTATTTTGTAGGAGCAGCATGAGTAGACTTGAGACAGAGACAAGAAGACCTCTGGACTGTCAGAGTGTCAAGGCATAAGGCCAGTAATGCCCAAGCAACCTGAAGCTAAGGGACAGGAAGGACCTGCCAGGGCCAGGGCGTAACACATCTTACCTGATACATTGAACTTCTGGTTTCCACAACTGTAAGAGAATGGGTTTATGTCATGTTAAGTCACTCAGTATGTCATTGTCACCACACAGCTTCTAAACTCTGACCAGAAGATGAAGCAGGACCCGGAGACAGAGCAACTTAAGCAGAGGCCCCATGAAGGCAAAGCCATGGGAGGGGGTCAGAGGGTCAGATGGGGCTCTGAGAAGTCAGTCCAAGTAGGCTGAGTTTTTCACAGAACCGTGTATGGCACTGTCTTCTGTGACACCCATGTGGCCTTCAGTTGTTAACGGGAGTTACACAGACAACTTGAGGAGGCTACGCTTCTGTGCCCACCTAGTACTTCCCAGAGCCAAATACCCTTGGGTAGGGAAGATTTGCTACAGGAAGTACAGCACACACTCCCAAAAAGAGGCTACACAGCACCAGACTGGAATTAAGACTTCTGCTTCTCAAAGAGTATTAAGAGACGAAAAAGGGCAAAGATCAAATGAAGAAAGACTCTTGTTCTATACAACAAACAGTGACTTGTCCAACATATACAAAAAGCTCCTATAGTCAATAAGAAAATGGAGATTACTCAATAGAACAAGACAGCCCAGGGGAGAGCCAGAGAACAAAAGAAAGTGCACACAGGACCCCAAGCCAGATACCAGATACACCTTGCAAGGAGGGGGCATTTAAGACTGTTGGTGGGATGTGGATCACAGAAGCATCATACGGGGAAGCTGGTGGGACACTCCATACAGCATCACCCCCACCCAGCTCACTAAATCTGGAGGTGCACATAGTCTGAGGCCTAACAACTTCAGTTCTTCGGGAACTTTCCATTTGTAGGAGAGTTCAATGCAGTCGTACTCCTTTGTGTTGTTGTTGTTGCATACAACTTTTTCATTTAAAAGTATTTTTCATTGATTAAACTTGTTCTTTGACATTTTCATGCCTCTACGCAGGGCATTGCTTACCACACCTACCTCTGTCATCCCCAACACTCTCAACTCCACACGCAGCTGTATTCTTGGTCTCCCAATAGGGAAGCAACCAGAGACAGCTGACAGAAGAGGTTCACGGAAGAGAAAGCTAGAGTGAATCTTCTCAGAATAAAACTAGCCAAAAGAATGCAGTCCAATAGAATCACAGCTATATGATCTCAAGTGTAAAGATAAACACACACACACACACACACAGAGGCATGCCAGGCAGGGTGGGGCACACCTTTAATCCCAGCACTTTTGAGGCGGAGGCAGGCGGATCTCTGTGAGTTCCAGACCAGTCTGATCTACTAGAGCTAGTTCCAGGATAGGCCCTAAAGCTACACAGGGAAACCTTGTCTTGAAAAAAAACCCACACCAAAACAACAAGAAGCACAAGAGCTAAGCCAGTGTTCATGGATGTATGCCCGTGAGGTGCACTTTCTACCACAGGACAAAGGGCAATGGGAATGGCTTCCTGGAGGAAATGGAAATTACAGGACTGAAGCAGGGTCCCCATGGGAGGGAACTTGAGGAGCCAGCCATCTGGCAGGTGGGAGGAGGCTGAGATACAATTCATGGACCATTCTCCTCACACTTGCCTGAAAGGCCAAAGAAAGCCTAATGTTGGGGCATCTAGACAATGAACAAGCTTGCAGCCGAGTTACATCACTGTACAGTTGAGAGAGACCATGGACCCAAGAAGGTTTCATTCTTCATCAGGAAGTGTCATTCTGTCCATGGACTTTACCCTGATAACAGGCAGCCATCTGCGGAGCACACAAGTACAGGCTCCAGGTCACAGAAACCATATCCGCTGGGACCCCAGCAGGGCCGTTCCTGGGACTGGCCCAGGACATCAGGAGGAGGCTTCACAAGTGGCACAGAGGTCAAGACGGGGCACAGATCTGATGGTGCCACAGAATGATGCTGGGGGTCCCTGGTGGGGCTGCCCTGGGTGGCGAAGGTCCTAAGTGAGCCATTGGTGAAAGATACCATACGGAGATTCCAGGAGGTCGTGGATGGGGCCATGGGTGGTGGCTGCCATGGGTGAGGTTGCTTTCTTTGGAAGGTGTTGCAGGTAGTGGGTACTGTGGACAAGGGAAGCCCTGGCAGTAAACAGAGGATGCTAAGGTTCAAACACTGTGACCCTTCTCTATGAGGAAGCTGGTCTTACCAGCTTGAACCAGCAGTAAGGGACACCATGAGGGTGGTCAGGGCTGGGCCACCACGTCTGAACCCAGCCTGCGGCTGAGCAGCTCCAACCCTTCCCTTCACCAGGAAGTGGGAAGCTCCATTCTCCCGCATGGGGTCTCTGGGCACAGCCTTGCTGGGCACGGGGGAAGGGCTGGACGAGACTGCAAGGTCCCCTGTCCTGGCAGAACTGAAGTCACACCTCCCACAGGCTCCTCCTTCAGTTGGGCACTATAAATAGGACAGCAGGCTCTGCTGAGGAAGCTAGCTTTCACCCTCTGTGGAACCCAGCAGGGTTGTTTTGGGGGCCCAGAAATCTCCAGAAAAACCTCCACCCCCTCATAGATGGTTTCAATTTTCTTAAGTGAAAATTTCCAATGCTTATAAAACAAAAAAACTTCCAAAGCCTTAGGTGATGGTTAAAATTGCTATATTCCCCAACCTCAAAGAATGGAGAAGGTGGATCCCAGGAGCACCAGGAGGAAAACGTGCTGCTTCGTGTGTTATTCTCACTTCACCAGCAGCAAAGACAAAGGTTTTCAACACGCTGCTTGAATTAGGGCACCGATTCTAATGGTGGGTCCCTGTGGCAATCACGAGCTTTTCTGAATAGAGAGGAGTCCTTTAGAGACACCAAGCTCAGATTGTGCCCCTCCCCCTCGCCAGTCCTCCACGGTCACGTGATGGGAGAGGGACTGGCACGCGAGCAGAAACAGCAGCCCAGAGAACCCAGCTGAAGGCTAATCAAGCTGCTCCCCCCCCGCTTCCCACCCCATTGCTCCTGGAGAGCTCACGCCGCCTATGAGGGCCACCTACGCGGCCAAGAGAGGCCAGATACGCAACTGGGCGCTGGGCCGAACGCCATCATAAGCCCCAGGACACGCACAGGACCGATCACCGGGACAGCAGAGCCTGTCCAACGCCGCGCCACAAAGGGTATTATTCGCCTTCCTCACCTCGTTCAAGGCCTCGTTTACATAACCGAAACCACCGAGTAAGGGTCGGATCCTCCCTCTCCCGCGCGCAAATACGGGCATTCAAGATGCGACCCTGATAGAACCCTTGCCATCTCGACTGCGAGATGCAGGCTCGCCAGGAGGGTGGAGGAGCTAACAGGCTCTGTCACCTGCAGGACGCAACGCGGGCTCAGGATTCTCCGAGACCGGTGAACGTCAGGGCAGCTCCTGATCCCACATGCGCGCCTCGGGGCAGTGTCTTCTCTTTACACCGTTTCCCACCAGGTTCCACGGGCATCGACCCGAGGCCCGGCGAGGCCTAGCACCTGGGTGTGGTGGGGAACCGTGGGGTGCTTTCGGTCCACCGTAATAAGTGGCAACGCAATGCGCTTGGCTCAGTGTACATGCATACCCCTTCTTGACACCACTGCCCCGAGGTCTCTAAGGAACCACTGTACCAGCTGTGGGAGCTGATCGAGCCGCCGCAGAGAGGCAGGTGGCCAGCCTCATCGACCGGAGGCGCCCCGAGCCTATGGCCCTGGAGCCGCTGCTCGGACCACGGACAGCGCCCAGCGCTAGCTTACCTCCGAGATGCGTCCGCTGGTGCGCCTCCGCGACTAGACTTGCGCCCGGGGGCGCTGAGCTCTCCCAGCCGCCTGCCCGGGCCCCGCCCTCCAGCCCCGCCCACATGCCCCCCCTCCTGCCCCGCCTAGGCGCGCACTGAGGCTCCTCCCGACCCGAACGCGGCTCACCGAGACCGGAGGCCGCTACTGCCTTACAAGGCTGCCGAAGGCACCGCCGGCCTATGGACGCGGCTCGACCCAGGGCGCGGTCGTCTGTGGAGCTGTGGAGCGTGGGAACTGGGTGGAGGTTGGGGAAGAGCGAGTGGGGCACACCTGGCCCTGGGGCGCCGGGCGTGCGTACAGTCACAAGAGGGGAAGCTGAGGCTGGTGGCGAAGTCGCAGCTTTCACTGAGCTTGTGATTCCTACCTGGCGCCCACCGAGAGCTTGCTTGATGCGTGTGATGAGCTGCTGGCCGCTCCGGCTACCTGTATGAGAAAGATCCTGAGAGTCTCTGCTGATTTTCCTTCTTCCTTCTAGGGATGCTTGCCACGGGATCTCTACCCTGCTGACTCTGTGGTGAGGTCATGGCCGCACTGCCTCAGTAGAAGGTGACTCTACAGAAGATTATGGGGTTGGTAAGGTGGTGCACAGCGGGTCTGGAGGCAGAGGCGTTGGTGCAACAGACTCCGTAGTCCTCCAGGTTGTTCAGCCTCTGACTTCAACTGAGGAGCCTCTAGAGAAGTCAACCCAAAGAGGGGTGGGGTGGGGGGCAGTGGTGGGTGTCTGACAAATTAACTAACTCTCGAGGTAACCTTGCTCCAAAACTTCAAAACGAGACCCACCTGGGCACTTGGAGCAATTTTCCCCTTCCCCGTGGTGGTCTCTGACCCCTCAATCCCTCAGACTCCCTGCTATCTTCAGCTACTCAAAAATGACTAAAAGTCACTTGTAATTCTTGCCCTCCTGCCAAATCCCACTATAGAAGTCACAGGACTGTGGGGGTGTGAGGAATGGAGAACCAGACCCAGGCCCTCTTCTGTCACTCAGCTCTTCCTTATGCGGTCCTAGCTTGGCCGCTTGTCTTATATCCCAAGCCCTGTCATCCCCTGGAAATCAAAATGTAAGCAAAGTGCTGAAAACTGGCATTCATTGTTATGTTCCTACTAGCATATTTTCAAAAGGTGACTACTCTCTAATTTTGTTTATTGTGTGTGTGTATATGCCTGCTGGTCAGTACATGCACCACGCGCAAGCCCTCATAGACCAGATTGGTCTGTTAGGTGCCTTAAAACTGGAGTTACAGGTAGTTGTGAAATGCTCAATGTGGGTGCTGGGAACCAGACCCAGGCCCTCTGCAGGTTTGTATCAATTTGTATCAATATTATAAAGTTCTGGAGGACCTGCTGTTAACAACCATGGTCCAAGACGTCAGCTTGATGGGCCTTAGGGTTGGGATTGGGTCTTCTACCTGACCCTCCTACAGCATTGCAGCTGCTGAACCCTCACAGATCTCATCTGCAGACAGCCTGTACAGGGGACCTGCATCAGATCTGTGTGAAAGTGCCTCTGGTGAGCATCCCTCATAGGGACCCAGCAAAACACCCCTGCTGGGATGATGATGGGCCCTCAAACTCACTACATTTGGAACCTCAAAAGTGTGACCTATACGTAAACAGGGTCTTGGTCTGGGGGGCATAATTCCATGGAAAAGGCTTCTTCCTACCAGAATTTCCAGGACCACAACAAAGGTGAGGAGTGTCTGCATATGAAATTAATGTCTGTATCTTCAGTTGAAACCTTGTCCTAGATCATCCTAGTGGACCCTAAATTCAGTAACGAATGTGTGTCCACGTGACCCCGACAGTATCAGAGCACCTAAGCAGACCACTGCGTGCAGGTCTGGGTTTCCAGAGATGCAAATGCTGCAGACCAAGGTAAGGTCCAGTGGTCTTCTTTGTGATCCAGGCGTAGGGAAGACACCCAGACCAGAGCAGCAGCCTGACCTAAAAGGGTTCTATTAGAACAGCATGGAGTTCAGGGAGGGAACAAATGATCATTGGTAACCTCCAAAGTCTGAGGACAATGGCTGGGGCATGGGAGCTCTGCTGAGTCCTGGATAAGGTCAGAAGGATGTGGCAGAGGAGACTGGGACACTGGCAGGTTTACAGCTGGATTGCACAGGTATTCCTGTCTCCTCCAGGGAGGGCCGCAGCAGTCCATGAAGAACCTGCTACAGGAGTCCCCATCACGGTCACACAGAGACCGGAGGAGCCTACTAGGTGTAGTCCTAGTGGGCTTGGAAATGCAGCCCACTGTGGGGGAGCGACTGGTACCTCAGGGTCGCTAAGAGGACAGCTCCAGGGATTTGTTACGGCCCAACAGGAGGCTTTGTTGACAGCCTTTGTGTCTCTCTGAAATCCTGAGGTAGGATTTCCCTAGCCTGGAGCTATATGTCTCCCAAGCCAAATCACATCTCTTTGTGGGTATAAGCAGGCAGGTGTGGTAGACCCTATATATGTAGCTCCCTAGTCCTTGCCATCATTGTGGGGACCAAGCAGGCTGGTGACATGGGTGGAAGGGGCCAAGGCTCAACAATAAAAGAACACTAAAGGCAAAGGCTGCCTCTGGGTGGGTTAGAGCCTCGCTGGCCATGGAGTTGGGTCCTGCTTTCCAAGCACACACAGGGATGTGTTCAGGCCTCAAACCAAGACGGTTCCCAGAAAGTGCTAAGGGTAGCTGGGCTGTGGAGTGCGGGGGGCTGTCCTGAGGATGAGGGACTGTGGGATGCTCTTACTATTGGGGAAAGCTTGGCATATTTCAAAGCATCATGGACAGATGTGGCCGCTACTGGAGATGCCAGGGAGCCCCCACCAATGGTGCTCACTGGCAATGGGCCATGAGCAGGTTTCAGCCCCTCTGTGGCTGTCAAACATGAGCTAAGCCTGGCAGCTAGACTGAAACCAGGGGTCTCATGGCTCTGGGGCCTGCGTCGAGGTTAAACTCCAAGGGAAGAGAGGTGTGCCTAACCTTGGGGCCCTGCCACCCCTCTGCTCAGTGTGATGCTGGTAGTGTCCTCCAACCTGCACACGACCTGAAGATGGCAACGTGTTCTTCCTGTGTACCACTTACACTTTTCTACCCACATGGGGTCACATTTAGAGACCCTGAAGCAAGGCCCTGCTTTGAGCCTCCACTTAATTTCTGTCCAGCACTGCTCCATGCAGAGAGCTTGTCTAGAGTCACAGGCAGGGTCAGGTGGTCACTGAGCTGCAATGTAGCCCAGCCAAAGTGTCACAGAAAATTCTATTAACAGGTGAGCTTCTCCAAGCCTGGGATTCTGTTGACTGCCCCCCTTACCAGCCACAGTAATACTCTAGTTGACTTTGACCCCCAGAAATCCCATCTGAGACAGAGAGAAAGCACATTGGAGGCAGCTTGGCCCACAGAGAACACAGAGCTGGGCAAGTGGCCCTCCCACTGGGAGGCATCTGAGCCAGACTGACAAGGTCTTCTCACCTTGCCAGAGGTTCTCACTGAACTTCTTCATGACAAAGTTACATTTCTATATTTCTCACTTATGAAAAACATTTATACAGTCTATTAACTAAATTATCACATGTTGTTTTTCAGCTATAACTCTACAAATTTAGTATTAAAATGTTTCAAGTTTTAAGAACCTGAAGTTTTGCTTCTTTTGGCTGAAAACATTCTTGACCATACAGCCTCAAGGCTGTGCATAGTGTCCCTCTCCACAAGAGATAACTCAGCTTGTGGGGATTACATTTGTAACCATGAAAGAAACCTATGGAGACAAAATGTGGCTCAGGTGGGCTGTAGACATCCATCCTGCTACAAAAAAGTTGTCAAGAGCTTCTTTCTTCCAGGGTGCACACACTGAAATTTGCCTATGCAGCTTTGTCCTGGGATTCCAGTACCCTGGTCAACAGTAGGATCTCAGCCCAATGGAAGATGCGATCCAAATGGAGCTACAGTAACCTGTTGTGGTCAGGAAGTCTCCATCCCTGCAGGAGGGGGCACTGTCATCCAGCTCCTCCTTTCCTACTAAGCCCATAGCAGTGATACAGAGAATGCCATCTTTGTACTCTACCCCATGTGGTGGACATCTACTACGTCCTGACAAAAGATCACCCACCTTCCTGTGTACAGAGAGGGAGGACAGTACTGAAGGCCCCATTGTATAAAGTGTGTGGTTCACAGCCCACCCAATAACAGAAGGAGCCTGAGTGTGTCTGAGCAATGTTTTGCTCATGAGCAATATTTATAAAGACGTGTAGTCTTTATTAAGACACGTGAATAACTGTCGCAAAGGGCCTCCCAGCAAGATGGAGTTATCTCTTCCTATGAAATAACACAAAACAGATGTCTGAAAGCAAGACAGCAAAGGACTACAGTCTCTGAAAGATGAACACCTAACTCTAAAAGCTACACTATGTGGATTAGAGTGGAACCCCAGGCAGTGATCTCCATGTAGAGAAAGCCATGAGACCTGAAGAGGGAATGCCATAAAGTCCTTCAAATGTTCAGCTGAGCACAGATCTCAAAGGGAAAAGCATCTAATCCTGAAGACAAGAGCATGTCAGAGACAGCAGGGCTAGGACAGACCTCTCTCTGACAAGTCAGGAGGCTTAAAACTCAGGGTCACTAAAACTGAACTGCACGAGTGTGTGATTTCACACAGGAACAGTCACCCCTGAATGAGCACCACTCTGGTCTTATCCAAAATTTAATAACGAGGTACAAAAAGACCAAACTTTTTGTTTGTTTGTTTGTTGTTTTTGTTTTTTGAGGCAGGGTTTCTCTGTATTGTTTTGGAGGCTGTCCTGGAACTCTCTCGGTAGACCAGGCTTGGTCTCGAACTCACAGAGATCTGCCTGCCCCTGCTTCCCGAGTGCTGGGATTAAAGGCGTGTGCCACCAGCGCCCAGCAAGACCAAACTTTTTAAACATATCACAGAATAATAATACAGAATATAGAAATAATTAACTCCAAGAAAAGGTAAGCTTCACATATTAGGCAAAACAGCAAGAAAATTTGACCCATAATTAAGACACAAACCAATTTCCCGATCCTAGATAAGCATAACAGCATTTTTAAAATATCTTAACTATTTCCTCCTATTAGGAAAATACAACAATCCAATTTAATGTCTAGAGGTGAAACTGTGTGCATATGATGAATACACTGGATAATAAAGTAGATTTTCAGGACAGAAAGATCGTCCATGTGAGGCCAGAGTTATATCAACTTTTCACAAGGAAAAGAGGAGGAGACCTGGATGATCACTTGGGTGATATGGGGTTTCGGAAGAAAAGCAAAGCAAGGTGGACAGTTATGTAGTTGTCCTCTGGCCCAAATGCACACACACACACACACACACACACACACACACACACACACACACACACACACACACACACACACCAGACCGCAGAGACAAAGACACAGCCAGAGAATATGCAAGAAAATGGATATAAATGCATTATAGTACACTGTTAAATGGAAATCTTTAAAGTATCCATGGAAAGGAAGTAAAGCCCTGACCTGGACCTGGACATCAGGTAAGAAAGTCTGTACCATGACAGCTACCAGAGACGGGCTCATGGTGTGGGTCCTGCCCACACGCCTGTGCTCAGACGCTGAACCTGCCTACATATATTGTTTCTCACATGACATCCACACGCTCACAAAAAACTATGTCCCTAATACATGCTCATGAATAAATTTCAACACTGTAACAGCAGTCAGCTACAAATACCCTCTGTCTCCCTTCCCAAATGGCACTGTACAATCACCTGAACAGCTGAGGGGGGTACAGTCCATGACACTGTTTTCCTCTGTACGTTCCCACTACAGTACAAACTGAAGACAAACAGATTAAAATTATCATTATCCTTTATCCCAGGCAACATGATCCAAAATATATAAAAACTAATAAACCAAGGTTATAGAGGAAATAGTATACAGAACTCAATTTATATTTGCATATATTAAGTCAAAAGCAATATATTATTACAAAATTATTCAGCTCATAATATCATTGAAAACAATGAAGTTAGCCAGGCAGTAGTGGTAGTAAACGCCTTTAATACCAGCACTTGGGGGTCAGAGGCAGGCAGATCTCTGTGTGTTCCAGACCAGCCTGGTTTACAAGAGCTAGTTCCAGGACATCCTCCAAAACTACACAGAGAAACCCTATCTCAAAAGACAAAAAGAACAAAAGAAAACAATGAATTTAACAAAACTGGCACAAAATTTGTATATAACTTAAAAAGATAGTTGCTCAGAGAAATGAGACATCTATTTATGGTTTATGGATTAGAACACAAAATATTGTTAAAATTGTAGACCTCCCACATTCCCTATTGAATCCTCTTTAGGCTTTTTAAAAGTGAACCTGAGCGGTTGGTCCTAAAGGATATATGGGAATTTATAGTGCCCAAAATGATTCTGAGTATAAGTCAAGGACACAAGAATTCCAATTCCCTACATTGCCACCAATATTTGATATTTTTCTGGGTTTTATTATTTTTTAAATATGTAATCACCCTAGTGGGTGAGAGATGGTATCTTGTCATAATTTTAAAATAACTTTTGTTGATCTTGTTCTGTGTGAGTGTCATACATGTAATTCTGATTATTGTAACTCCCCCCTTTTAGTCTCCCTTTTTTTCTAGCTGACCTTGAAATCAATAACCCCCATGCCTCATAATTGTTTTTTAGTATCTTAAGACAATTCTACATTTCTGGAATAAACTTTAATCGGCTGTGGCATGTAATACTGTATTTACAGTACCAGACTCAAGATGCTCCTATTTTGTTCATTTTTTCAACAGCATTAATACTCCTATTCATTGGAAATAGCATTGATGCTTCCATTTATGTTTTGGTTTTTCCAGATAGGGTCTCTCTGTGTAGCTCTGGCTGTCCTGGAACTTGCTCTGTAGACCAGGCTGGCCTTGAACTCACAGATACCTCTGCCTCCAGGGTGCTGGGATTACAGCTGATGCTTCCAATTATGGAAAATGCAAATGGATTAAAGATAGAAAGCTAAGTTCCTTCTTCCTCTGCCATCCTGAGACATCTGAACTTTAGTCCCACTGGATATGAGAAACAGGGTGGACTGAGGTGAGGGGATATTTGTGGAGGGTGGCCTGGAAGTGATGATGACACTGTGTCTACAACACCCTGACAAAGCTCAGGTATGTGATATTGACCACGATATAGGGCGGCTGAGGAGTGCAGGGAAAGGCGTGCAGTATGAAATACATAGCCCTCTCTATCCATGACACTCCCCATAATGTTCACCCAGGTGAGAGCCTCTATGCTCATCACACATGCACAGGATCTCCTCTGTGTGAATTCAGTGAAACCCGAGGAGGTGTGGCTTTTGGAGAAAGGTTTTTCACATTCATCACATTCTCAGGAAAACCAGGTTTTCATTAAAAATATTGACCTAAGGCACTTTTGTTTTGTTTTTTCATTTTTAAATGTTTTCCCCCTTTTCTCTTCTCCTGCTACCACACCCCGCCTCCCCCCACCATCTGCTCCTCCTCTGTCTCCACTCAGATGGGGTAAGGACTCCCATGGGAATCAACACAAACATGGCACTATAATTCTGATAAATTATCTGAAAGAAACTCTCATTGTTGCCACTGTGGTGGTTATGGCTACATGATGAGACCTATCCACTTGGAAAAAGACTCAAGAACTCACAGTTTTCACTCCACCTACCGTGGGACAAATTTTCATCTGCTTTAAAAACACGAGTGCCCAATGCATGACAGCAATATGCTAAGACAGGCACCGTGATGTTAATGGATTCAGCCCCATAGATCTCCATCTAGTTCTAAATCTTTCCAAGTTAAGTGTATGCTTTCTAACTGGCAGGAGCTGCTTTTTTCTTGGTCAATGGACACAAATTATTATCACAGGTCCAGTAAGACATAGAAAGTTTTGTTGTCTATAATAGGAAACCAAATTGCTGATTTTAATTTTTCACCCAATGAAAATTCTGGCTTAATGGTTTGTGAATTAAACAAAGACAAAATTTTAAGTAATATACTTTATGTAACCTCTTTCAGGAAGTGGAAAAGGAAAAAATTGCCAACTCATTCTGTTTCCAGCTAATATAAAGATTCTGTGATATGCTCATTAAAAGTGCCCTAAGTCATGGCAAAATCAGCTTCAAACAATACATATCCACAAATCCAACACTGCAGAAAGCTCTAGAAAGAAAATTCCAACTCAGAGAACTCAGTTAAATCCACAAAAACACAGGTAAAAGATAATCTCACACCAGCAAAACCCAAAGAAGGGAAACACACACTACCATCACCACCACCAAAACCAGAAAATAACAGGAATTAATAATCACTGGTAGACACACACAACACATACATCACACAATAAACATCACTTATCAAACTCCAGACACATCACAGACATCTCAAACACTACACAGGCACACAACTCTCCATTTACTATACAGATACAGGGATACTATAGGTACCACACACCACATATCACACAAAATAACCACACATACATTACACACTATATACCACATTATACACAACATAACACATTATACCAAGTCATATCTCAACATTTTATTGTAAAAAATTTCAAACATCTAGAAAATTTGAAAGTGAAAATTCATTATGTACTCAACAACTAGATCCTATTATTGCTAACATTCTTCTAAATAGATGATTATTGAATGGCAATGGGGTTTGCATTCTGAGGAACTCATCATAAACTGAAGATATCTTAAGTCCAAAATATATATAATACACATACTCTACTGAAGATCACAGCTCAGCAACATCAGGTACCACAGAGTAGAGGCATCTCCTCATGATCTTGGGCTGATGGCTTGATGCTGCCATCCTGAGAGAGGTTCATACTTGTCACTAGCCCAGGAAAAGAACACAATTCCAGATTAGAAGTATGGCTTGTAGTATTAATCTTGTGCCATATCAAAACCCAAAACTTTTAGGTTGTACCATCACATCAGGGAATATTATTGGCCACTTAGCCATCTGTCTTCACCACTTAACTGTAAATCTTATTTCTAGGCTTATGTTACAATTGTAGCCTCCAGTATGCCTCACTAACATATATAAATGTTGTTTTAGTTTTAGTAGTTTCTTTACTTCCTTTTTCTACGCCCCACTTCCTCTTCTCCTCCAGATACCTTATGGTTGAGAATTTCTGCCCCTTCATTTTCCTTCCTACCCGAGTTCCATTCCACAGCTGTAAAACTTGTTATCAGCCAAACAGGAGTTCAAGGCATTGCTCTCTTCAGGTTGGGGGAGCTGTGGAACCACAGGTGACTTAGGCCCATGTCCTGAAGGCCCGGTGAACACTCAGTGCTCACCTTTACTGTGGAAGAGTCTTTGGAGCTGGAGCTATGAAACACACATTTGATTGCTGCGAAAGTGTAGACAGCAGGAACCTCTGAGGCTCCACACTGAGGAGGAAAGACATACACATCAGTGAGGGGGAGACCCCATAATTGAGGCTGAAGATTCTCATACCAGCTTCTTGGGGCCATAGCCACGAGTACTACACAATTGGATCCCAGTGTGATGGACCCTCACTTCTAGCCAGTGGTATACACAGAAAGGGGCACCCTCCTACTGCTTGGGCCCTGTGTTAGACCTCTATTTCATCAGTCTTTGTGAACTGGTAAAAGGTCACACCTGCACCCCCAGTGTCTCTGAATCATGGGAGCTTCTTGTTGCAGATCCAGCAAGATACTGTAGGAGGCTGATCTGGAGTATTCAGGGAGCATAGGAAGGCGGGCTACAGAGTCTCAACATATGAGAACGACAGTGCTAGCCATGCTGCCAACAATGTTGAGGGTGAAAACAGGAATCTCAGGAAAAGTGAATTCCAGAAGCTTCCTGAATGTACTTAGCCTGGCTCTTCCTCAACTCATCTAGGTCATTCTGACCAATAAGAGGCAATGCTGCCTGTGAGACACTGGAGAGCCCAGCTGTGTGTGGAGACAATGAGTTTGTGCTAATGTCTTCTGCAGCACGAGAAAACCATTTCATACCACATGGATGGCGGCAGCTGACCGGAACTCCCTCAAAGTCAAACAAGAACATTCTTCCTATGTGAAATCTCAATCTTTGTTCCTGTTTGCTTTCCAACTCTATCCATCTATTTCATGAAATATTTCACAATAGATACAGATGCCAGAGGAGATATTCCCAGCACACGAATGGTCTACTGACCATTAGAAAAAGTTCTCTGTGACGTTGGGGCCAGAATATTCCACTAACCAATAGCTATAATTGATACCTATATCTCATGGGCACTAATTGATACCTATATCTCATGGGCACTTACTTGTGCTTGTGACTGGTGCAGTGCCATGTAGAACTCAGACAATAACCATGCTCTCTGGAACTTGGGCTGTGATATGCCAAAGCATACCAGTGTCTGTTTATTATCTACATGCACACTGTTAGGTTGTCATAGAAACAGTTTCTGTGTCTGAAAGTATAGGGACTCAAGAAAGCCCTGGATGTGTCAAGTCCTGGGTGAATGTGTGTTGACACAAGCCAATCATATCATGAACCCCAGAGCCTCACACCAATGGAGGAACGGCAAAGACTCCTCCCTGGGGTGAAGTTCAGGGGCATGTCAGTGTTCCTCTGGAGACTGAGTGCAAATGTTGACAGTGTGTGCAGAATGTGTCCACTACAGCTTTCTCCCTCCCAGATGTTTATGGCCTGAACACTGTCCCTTGCAGAGGCTGTTCCTGCTGAGATTAGCTAAACCTGTCCCCTTGATCCAACTGTGTATCATAAACTCTGACTCCTTTATTATCTGCACGTAATAACCCTCTCTCCTTAACTGGCTGTATGCAATAACTCCACCTTTTTGTTAAACTCTATGTAATAAACATGCTGAGCTTCTGAGGTGTTGTGGTTTCTCCAGAAGAGAGCACAGACCACCTGATGTTGGCTTTCTGTCTGTGTACCTGCCTGTGTTTGTCTTGTCTTCGCTATTTCATGTCCCCAGTCAGGTCCAAGTCCCTGGAGCCACACTGGATGTGGCACTAAAGGGCAGGTAGTATGATATTGAGCATTACATTCCGAGAGTTGTGACTATGCCCTGTGTTCTGTCACATGCACACACACTGATCTTTCCTAGTACAAGGCTAATTCATCATCATGCTGGAAGAGAATACTATACAGTAAAAATAATCTTTGAGGCAGGTATCCACAAAAACATGGTTCATCTTCTTCTTTTAACAATGTTGAAAATATGTGGAGTTTAAAAAGTAGGCCCCGAGAGTAAGAGCAATGATTACATTTTTATTTAATGGAGGATTGAATATCTGATGAAAAAGAACTCAAAAGGAAGACCTTGGGAATGGCAACAGTGGCTTCTGGTGGGCAGGAGACTTGAGTGGGGGGACCAGTTTTACTTAGAAAAACTTGTAATTTCCAAAAAATTTTATAATGTGCATCAACTTGGTAATCAGAAACAAAAATGAAGTGGTTTGGGGTTTGGAGTGGAGTTATAGTCATGGCCACAGCTAGGTTTTGCAAGGCTTTCAGGAAGAGGAGAGAGAGAGAGAGAGAGAGAGAGAGAGAGAGAGAGAGAGAGAGAGAGAGAGAGAGAGAGAGAGAGAGAGAGAGAGAGAGAGAGAGAGAGAGAGAGAGAGAGAGAGAGAGAGAGAGAGAGAGAGAGAGAGAGAGAGAGAGAGAGAAAGAGTACTCTGGAAGTCTGCTTGAAAGATTGGACAACATTTGAA